GTTCTCTTCTGTAATAGGCCCCATCACCAATATGACACGTAAGGGGGTTAGTTGTACGGTATGGTCTAAAGAAGCTAAAGAAGCCTTTGAACTTCTTAAACAAAGGTTTGCTTCTGCCGACATATTAATACATCCTGATATCAGTAAACGCTTCATACTGAAGGTTGATGCCTCCGAATCTCGAGTAGGGGCTGTTCTTTCTCAAAGGGAGAGTCAGGATACCCCTTTGCATCCATGTGAGTACTTTTCTAGAAAGCTGTCTACCTCTGAACACAATTATGATATTCGCAACAGAGAATTGTTGGCCATTATCCTAGCGCTTAAAGAGTGGCGACATCTTTTGGAGGGTTCCAAGGACCCCCTTTTGATCCTTACTGACCATAGGAATTTGGCTTATATAAGGAATGCTAAACGACTGTCTTCTGGACAGGCTATATGGTCTTTATTTCTGTCTCGCTTTAACTTTCTAATAACTTACAGACCTGGTCCCAAGATTGTAAAGGCAGATGCCTTATCGAGACAGTTTGGTACTGAATCTATATAGGAATACGAGACATCCCCTATTGTACCACCTGAGTGTATCATCGCTTCCACTGTTCTTTCACTGTCTTATCCTTTGCTTGGTGCTTTAATGGAGGCTCAGTCTCAGGAGCCATACAATAAATATTCCGATAAATTATTTGTTCCATTGGGTGAAAGAGAGAATGTCATAAAGGGGATTCCACAACAACGTGACTGCTGGACACCCGGGCATCAATAAATCTGTATCCGCAATCATGAGATCATTTTGATGGGATTCTCTCTGTTAAGGAATATGTGCAGGCCTGTTCTGTTTGTGCAGTTTCCAAGGTCCCTCATAAGCTTCCTTGTGGATTGTTGCAGCCACTTCCCGTACCTAGTGTTCCATAGTCCCATCTGTCCATGGATTTCATTGTGGAGTTTCCTAGTTCTAATGGCTATACCACTATTCTGGTTTTCTAAAATGGCTCATTTTGTTCCACTCAGGAAACTGCCTTCCTCTCAAGACCTGGTTCTTATTTTTATATGAGAAATTTTCAGACTGCATGGCATTCCTCACAATATTGTTTCTGACAGAGGTTCTCAGTTTGTGTCGCAGTTTTGGAGGGCTTTCAATAAACAGTTGGGCATCGAATTGTTATTTTCTTCATCTTACCATCCTCAAACCAATGGCACAGCTGAGAGGGCTAATCAGTCATTAGAAGTGTATTTGTGTTGTTTTGTTAATAGCACTCAGGATAATTGGTCCGAATTACTACCCTGGGCCGAGTTTGCTAGGAATAATGCTAATCATGACTCTTCGGGACATAGTCCTTTCTTTGTAAATTATGGTCGTCATCCTACTGTTCTTCAACATGGCTATTCCTGCTTTGGATGATCACCTTAATTCTATTCGTGATACTTGGACCACGGTTTACCCTGCACTCAAAACTGCGGCTGATCGGTTTAATCTTTATGCTGATAGACGGGAGGTGCCAACCCTGTTTACCAAGTGGGTGAGAGGGTGTGGTTATCATCGCTTAACATTAAATTAAAAGTTCCTAGTATGAAGTTTGCTCCCAGATTCCTGGTCCCTTCTGTATCATTAGGAAGATTGATCCTGTCTCCTATTCTCTGGCACTTCCTGCCTCTTTATGTATCCCCAACACCTTTCATGTATCCTTGCTCAAACTTCTTATTTGCAATAGATATACTGCCCAAAGTGTTCCTCCTTCTCCGGTGGTTGTTTCTGGACAGGAGGAGTATGAGATCTCTTCCATAATTGATTCCAGATTTTCTCATGGTTCATTGCAGTATTTGGTAGATTGCCGAGCATTCTTGGGTTCCTGCTTCTGACATTCATGCTAGCCGCAAGGTACGCTCTTTTCACGCCAAATCCCTCTCAAGCCTGGTCCTGTCCGCCCTGTGGGCAATCTTCACGTGGGGGGTAATGTAACATATTCATCCTCACCTTGCGACATCAATATCGATTGCCTTGCCAACAAGTGCGGTAGTGCAGCATGTAAATGGACGACAGCCGCTGCGGATCTACATCAATTAGTAGCCCCACATCTGCCCACGGCGTGGACGACGTCAGTGTTTGCATGACGTCAGGCAAAGGACACACACGCACGTTCTGGGGTCAAAGGCTGGTTACGGCCAATCGGATCCATAGGAGGAGTATTTAAGCTCATCTAATTCTTCAGCTCATTTTCCTGTTGTGGTTTTTCCTTAGTGGTTGTCTAAGAGTGCATTCCTGATAGTTTTTCTGGTTATTGACTTTGGCTTCATTTGACTTCCCTGTATTCTGGTATCCTTGACTTTTGGCTTTCCCTCATCGTTGTGTTCCTTTCTGTGTTCCTGACCTCAGCAGGTATTCTGACTATTCTCTGGTACGTTAAGTCCGGCCATTCTAAGGCCTGGTAAGACATTACCTATTAGTCCTAGGTGTGACAAAGCTCTACATGCTGGATCAACTAGTAACCCTGACAACTGTATGCAGATCAAACTCACCACTAGTGAGTGCCTCATCTGCTAGAATGAAAATTTGGGTGATAGGGCCTGCGATGTCTAGCAGTTTGTCTTGGGTTGCTTTCAACCTCTGTTCAATGCCCTTGCGAGGGTCCTTGCCAGATTTTGTTAAGAAAGTTCCCAGCATGGGGTCAAATTTAGGTGTTGAGGCAACTTTATCAGGAATAGTTGGCCTGGGGCATTCAGCCCTCAGTTTTGCTCTAATTTCTTTCTCTAATGACTTGCACAGCCACATTCTACAAAAATTAGCTATGTGGTCTGGAGGAGCCCATTTGGCAGAGCGTGGGTGTTGGATTATCCTAGGGTCAAAGAGTGGAAGACCCAAAGCATCCAGAAGGGTATCTAGAGAAGGCTCCTTGGGCTTAGAGATACTCGAGCCTGAATTATCAGGTTTAGTAATAAATGTCTCTTTAACAAATTCTAAAGTGGAAGAATCCTGAAGCAGAGTAACTAGCACCATAGTCATCAAATATATGGCCAGCTAGGCGGGAGGTGGAACGCTCTAGAGCTGGCTTCCCCAAACTCCGGCCCTCCAGATGTTGCTGAACTAGAACTCCCATGATTCTCAGCATCTATTTCATTTATGGAATCAAGGAAGTGGTAGTTCAGCAACATCTGGAGGGCCGGAGTTTGGGGAAGCCTGCTCTAGAGGGTCCAGGTTATCCTGCATTGTGAGTGACAGGGACAATTTAATTGATTTTGCAGGAGCTTTGCCATTGCCTGCAGAGGCTCTATCCCCTTTCCAAGGGTGTTTGTGCTGGTTTCCTTCCTGATCAGAAAGATGAAAATCATCTGAATCAGAAGGTATATGAGCAGGAGGGTTAGCTTCGGTAGAAGCCTGTTCATGAAAGGCGGCTAAAGCCTTGGGTATTGACTCCGCAATAGTGGCTAAAAGCCAAACACATAATTCTGAGGAGATGGCAGAGTCTGGATGTTCAGACATGTTGGCTTATAGTTTATTAAAATGACACAGAATATATAAGTAGTGAGAACAAGAGAACAAAATCTCAATTTATTATTTAAGTGTAGGAAGGCACTGTACTCAAAAGTAAAACATAAGTTCACTTAATATTAAGTAAAAGCAGGAATGCACTGCCTAAAGCAAATGGGGTTCACCCAAATAAGAAATAATTGGCAAAAATAAAGATGAGGCAACTCAGTGAGACAGGACAGTAGGGTTCACCCACAAGGTAAAACAGTGGGGGTCATCCACAGAAACAATCAGTGAAGTTATAGTACAGAGTGAATGGCAAAAATACTGTGGGGGTCGCCCACAGAGTAAAATGAGAGGTGGAGTTTACCACATTAAGTTTTGTAAATTTAATGAGTGTGATTAACCACAAGTGATCAATTTACGTGATAGAACACCAAGTATAGTATGGAGTGGGGTTATCCACAAAGTCAGTATCAAAAATGTAAATAGTGGGGGTAAACCTCAAAGCCCTTTTAGAATAAAGCAGCAGGTCTCAATGTAATTAAACAATCTGTTGAAAGAAAGAGAATGAAGCCAATCAGAAACTTTAGAGGCTAATCATAGTGAAAAAAACAAGTTTTAGGAGTATTGGAGAGTAAAAAACTTACCACAGGCGTAAGGTATAAGTGGATGTGCCCACAGTGCTGTTCATTAATGCACCGGAGAAAAAGGCGGGAAAAAATGGAAGACAGACACGATGGCCTCCGCAATACAGGTAGGCGGAGAGATTGCATCAGAGTCGACGAGGGTAGATGGAAAAACCCTGAAAAGGGTGCGTATCGTGTTGTGACTCCCTGAGAGGTGGAGTCTGCGGCCGGCATGTTATGTGGGAGATGTGGGGAGGTGGCAGGGGCGTACCTAGAGTATTTGGTACCCGGGGTGAAACTTGTTATTGGCACCCCCACCCCCTCCACCTCCACCTCCTTTAAAAGGTAAAAAAACACACGTAGTATGTATTTTCATATTAATATGTATATATATATATATATATAAGGGGGGAGATTGTTGGCCTGCATGATATGGAACCAACAGGCCAGAGCACAAGTCCAAGAACTGCGAACATCGAAGGGTACCCTTACGCAATTCCCTGAGGAGATCGCAAGTGAATTCCACTCATATTACGAACGTCTGTACAACATAAAACCCGAAACACCAGATATGGGAGAGGACAGGGGAACAGGTAACACGGCAAGCTATCTCAGAGTCTTCAAGCCGGATGTGCTCACGCCTCAGGAAGCAGACAATAACGGCGGACGAGATACAGGCGGCGATTAAAACAACAAAGAATGGGAAGGCACCTGGTCCCGATGGACTTTTGGCAGGATATTATAAAAAGTTCAGAGAAATCCTAGCCCCACGGCTAGCCGACGCCTTCAATCATCTGCAGCAAGGAGGCAGGTTTCACCGGGAAACCCTAGCGGCCACAATTACGGTGATCCCCAAGCCCAGTAAAAACACGGAAAACTGCGGCAACTATCGCCCCATATATCTATTGAACATGGATGTGAAACTCCTCTCTAAATTGTTGGCCTCCCGTTTACAACAATTCATACCACGGCTAGTCCACCTGGATCAAACTGGTTTCATACCGGGCCAGGAAGCTAGGTACTGTACCCTGCGGGCGTTCGCTATACAGGGCCTGGCAATTAAAGGGAACTCCGATCTACTTATGCTTTCCACAGACGCTGAGAAAGCGTTCGACCGAGTGACGTGGAGCTTCATGTTGGCAACGCTGGGGAATGGCATGCTCGCCTGGATTACAGCACTCTACACCGACCCATCTGTCAGAGTCCAAATAAACGCTCACCGATAGCCTAGATATACACAATGGCACTAGACAGGGCTGCCCATTGTCCCCCCTCCTTTTCGCTCTCATGCTAAAACCATTCCTAGGCAGAATACGACAGACACCAGAGATACAGGGGTTCAGACAGAAGGACCAGGAACACAAAGTGGCCGCGTATGCGGATGGCATGCTTTTCTTCATAACAGATTCCCAAGGCTCACTACCGGTCCTCCTGGACGAGTTCGCAAAATACCGGCGGGTATCGGGACTTAAACTGAATCAAGCGAAATGTGAAATACTGGCGGTACACACCACAAGGAACACACAAGAGCGACTCCAGGGCAGATACCCCTTCCACTGGTGCACGGAACAGATGTGCTACCTGGGAATATGGATTCCTTGCATTCCTAGCGAAATATACACCAGGAACTACACACCTCTCCTCCGCACCATATTGACAGACCTGAAGACTTGGGCCTATGACCATATTTCATGGCAGGGATGCATAGCGGTGGTCAAAATGAACATTCTACCCCGACTTCTCTACTGCTTCAGCACTATTCCCTGGCACCTACCCCCGGAATTCTTCACCACGCTCAAAACCGCTGTAACGAAATACGTCTGGAAGGAGGCGAGAGCATGGCTCAGCCATGACAAGCTGTGCCTACCCAAACCATGGGGCAGCTTGGCACTGCCAGATTTTTGCAAGTACTTCCATGCAACGGTGCTCCAGCGAATAAGAGAATGGCACACGGCCCCAACAAACAAACTATGGGTGAGTCTAGATAGAGAAACACATATGTCTGGCACGGTTCGGCAGCAGTCACACACGCCCTGGGTAAAGAATCCCCCGTCACGCAGACACTGAAAACATGGGCTACCCTGAGAAGAAACCCACACATATCCCCACAGCCAAGCCCCCTGATCCCCCTGACACACAATGAGGCCTTGGGAGGAGGGCTCCAACCAACCGCCTGACCAGTAAACGAAGAATCTGACTACATCCCACTGAACTCAGCCCTGACCAATGCAGGTTTGCACATCCTACGAGATTGGGCCACCGTAGAACACCTAACGATGATGTACCAATTCCATTACGCACAGCTGAGGCACTTTTACCACAACATACCCAATAGGGCAGCAGTACACAGGGAAATGTCATGGTTTGAACAACTCTGCGTGACTAACCCGGATGCAGAAGGCAGAGTGTCGGTCATATACCAACAGCTGATCATAGGGGACCTCTCCAGGAACACCGCCTTTAAGCGGCAGTGGGAAGAACTAACAGGCAGAACTTTCACGGAAGCCCAGTGGGAACAGATACTCATACTGCAGCATAAGAGTTCAATAAGCACCAGGTACCAAGAGGTTAACTTTAAGTTGATCTCTCACTGGTACAGAACTCCATCACTACTGCACAGGATTTTCCCAAGGGTCTCAGATTCATGCTGGAGGTGCGAAATCCATCCAGGCACGTTACGCCACATCTGGTGGGACTGCCCCAGGATCAAACCATTCTGGGAAGAGATGAAACTAGAAATAACCACAATCCTAGGAGAACCACCAGACTTTAGCATGGAAGCCACACTCTTGCACTTCACCGAAGGAACTTAGCTCAATATAAGCGATCAATACTATGACACCTGCTAAATGCAGCCAAAGCACTGGAAACAAACCCAACCACCCACTAAGGTCGAGTGGCTCCAGAGAGTAGAGGAGATCCACACAGCCGAGGCAAGATATGCCGACATGCTTGGGAGAAGCGACAAACATGTCGAACTTTGGAGACCGTGGTACACATAGATTTCACAAATGAGAGTGCAGGAAGGAGGGCGACAGGAAATCTAGTCAGCGAGATGCCCGCGCGTACCTCGCCACCCTTAGCATACTAACACTAGATGACGCATTAGATGCACACCACACCATTGCTCACACCCTGTTGCTGCCCCCCCACCCCCAAGCGGAACCGGGAGCCACCCAAAGAATTATGGAAGTCACATGGTAAGGCACCCACACAGAAATAGGAGACACATATACCACTACACAGACAAGAAGAGACGATCCCATGATGTGGATCACATCTAGCCGGGGAAGCAACCTCATAACAAACCTACGACCAGGGACGTATTAGCCGCGAGGCAAACAAGGCATTTGCCTTGGGCGGCATTTTTTAGGGGGCAGCAAAAAACGCCACCCCAAAGGCCCAGGGCAAATGCCTAGTTAGCCTTGTGGCTAACAGACATGCTGGGTGCTGGGCGGCGCTGGCTGATGGTCGGGCAGGCGGCTGGTGAGGGAGCTCTTCCTCTGAGCGGTCTGCTCAGCTCCCATGCGCGCCGCAGAGTGAGGCTGGGAGCCAGAATATGACATCATATTCCGGCTCCCAGCCTCACTCTGCGGCGCGCAAGGGAGCTGAGCAGTCAGCTCAGAGAAAGTGCTCCCTCGCCAGCCGCCCGCCCAGCAGCCAGCCCATCAGCCCTACCGGCAGCCACTGGACCACCAGGGAGAAAGAGGAAAACCCCCCCCCCCAGCACTCCCAAATGTAATGAGGCTGGGGGGGGGGTTAAATTAAAAAAAAAGTGTTAATGTGAGTGATTGTGTGTGTGTGACTGTGTGTGTGTGTGTTTGTGTCTGACTGTGTGTGTCTGACTGTGTGTTTGTGTCTGACTGTATGTGTGTGTGTGTGACTGTGTGTGTGTTTGTGTGTGTGTGTCTGACTGTGTGTGTGTGTCTGACTGTGTGTGTGTGTCTGACTGTGCGTGTGTCTGACTGTGTGTTTGTGTGTGTGTGTGTGTCTGTGTGTGTGTCTGACTGTGTGTGTGTGTGTTTGTGTGTGTGTGTGTCTGACTGTGTGTGTTTGTGTCTGACTTTGTGTTTGTGTCTGACTGTGTGTGTGTCTGACTGTGTGTGTGTGTTTGTGTGTCTGACTGTGTGTGTGTGTGTGTGTGTGTGTGTCTGACTGTGTGTCTGACTGTGTGTGTGTGTGTCTGACTGACTGTGTGTGTCTGACTGTGTGAGTCTGACTGACTGTGTGTGTCTGACTGTGTGTGTCTGACTGTGTGTGTGTGTGTATTTAGAAGGTGGGGTGGGGGGGAAGGGTTGGGTGGGGGTGGCGCGGGGGGAGGGGGGTGCCTGAGTTTTGTCCTGCCTAGGGCAGCACAAAACCATGATACACCACTGCCTACAACCGTAGACAAGAGCAACATTAGGACACCACATCGCTCCCGCCCGAGATGAGGATGACACCCCCAACATACGGTAAGAACCTAACACAGTAAGGAGACGGGTAAACCAACCGAACACAGACAGACACGGAAGCACAGCCACCACTACCGATAAACACATTGACCAACCACTTGCATAACGTGATAGACTTGTAAACAATGGATAGATACGAATGCAGCAAACAGCAGAAGGAACCCCAGAAGTGCCCTGACCGGACCACCTGGGATTAGATTACATTAGATTAGATTACACCAGGGGGATGGTGGAAGGAAAAGGGTGACTTCGACCTGATGCTAGACTATACGGACCTACACCCCAAGACTGAGACAGGGGCCACAATAGACCAAATTCATCCGCTATAGAGGGACGAATAGAAATAACTGTATGCACGCAACAGAGTATTCACAATCTCCAGGTGACGTTGCTAGATACTCATAGCATTATAGATGGAATCGAAGAGACAAACAAGGCTAACCATACTCTAACCTCGGGGACCACTAGCGGGCAGGAACAAAGTATGGCTAGAATGCAGAACACGGACCATGCCAGATTACCTTACCTAACGTGGTTATGCACTCTTACCTCTTCCCCACCGATAGTTGAACCTAAAGCACTACATACCCAATATAAAGCAGTCATAAGATGATAAAACAAAGGACCTTCGAGTCCACATCTACTGTGGGCCTGCGTGCCCAGTTTTCATGATGCGTTACTCAAAGTTATACTTAGCACATGTTGTGCTCCCATTGCCATAATTACTATGCCAGTAGAGACCTGTGAGTCTCATTGAAACCTGTTATTGATTGAAATGCAAATAAAAACCATATTTACAGCAAAAAAAAACCCTGATATTTCCCTAGGCACATTCACAATCTGCGCCCCCCCCCCATTTACCAAACCACCTGTCCCCCTTCAAAAACCCCTGTCCCCTCTAAAAAAAACATCTGCCCACCTCCACAATCCCCTGCCCACCTCCACAAATGCTCCCCCCTACAAACTCCTGCCCGCACTCTCTAAAAAAAAAAAAAACCCTGTTCCGCCCACAAAATTCCTGCCTGCCCTCAAAAAAACCCTGCCTCCCACATAAAACACCTGCTACCCTCTACAAATCCCTGCCACTCAAAACAAAATCCCTACAAATTCCTTCTCCCCCCTACAAAACCCTGCCAACCCCTACAAATTCCCGCTCCCCCTACAAACACCTACCCATCTCTACAAATCCCTGCTACGCCCCCAGAAAACCCCTGCCACCCCTTGCTCCTCTACAAACCCCTGCCCACTGCCACTCGAAGGTGGGTCAAGAAAAAAGTCAGTGAAGGGCTCAAAAGTGAAAGGAACCATGATAACACCCTGCGGGCAGTTATAAAAACAGCCCGACAGGAATAAAAATCAATCTAACAAGAAAACAATATGGTGAGGCAACACTTATACAAACATGTACTAGAAATTTAAAAAACACAAAGTACTTGAAAAGTAAAACATAAATAAATATATAAATATATAAAATATAGAGAATAAAAGGAGCAAACTAAAGTCATTAAGATTGAATTAAAGCAAATAACTCAAAACTAAATCACTCAAAGGCAATGTAATCAGAATTTACTCACCTGGGAGGCAAGCAGCATAGAAAGAGGAATTGGAAGGAGTATGATGGCATGGTATATTACATTATATGCATTCTGATTGGTTAAAACATTTTTTTACCCTCATGTTAACTGTTTCTTTGCTGCTTGGAGCTTCACGAAAGAAAAATAAGCAAATATGAAGCATCCTGTCTTGCCATAAAATGTATGTGTCTGGGGAAG